GGAAGCGAAACGCTATATGTATAGGTTCGTATACTGTGCGATGTCAGGGCACGTCAAGGAACACCAGATGGTCAAAATTTTTGCAACCTTCTACCACGGTGCCTAACAATCATACCCTGGTTTTGGGACATAAAACCCCAAATATTTTTATTCTATTTTCCATTCCAAAATGCTAATGATAGGATGAACGTGCCATCCCCTTTTAATGAAGTCCCACTCAAAACTCGATATAACGAACCCAGACATAACGAAATATCAGTTATAATAAAGTACAAAAAATATTCTTGCAATAGTTATAGTGTTTGGAATATACCTTTAAAATGAATTTTCAGATATAACAAACTGACTTTCGAGTAATATAGAACTTTGTTATAATGAGGTTGGGGAGGAGTTGTATAAGTTTTGGAGATTGCAAAAAATGTTGCCTTTTAAGAACGACAAACCTTCTGGACGTCGGTGGCCGTGATGTCCATGCACGAAGACCGGTTGTGCAGCAGCGCGATGAAGTGCGGTATGGACCAGGAAGTGCAGCAGCGATGTGGGCTGACACGCTCGCAGATGGGTCGCAGGCTGTCGGGGCGTCGGAGAACACCCAGGTCTGTCCGACAGATGGAAAGCAGCGCCTCCAGCGTGAACAGGTTCGCTCCGAGAACCGCCGGACCGAAGACCACGTGCCCGTGGTTTCGAGCTGAGAGGTGTGAGAGCGACAACTTTGAAGACTTCCACTGGGCGGGTCGGTTTATATAAGCGTGTATGAGGGGTAAGCTATACCTGTGCAATTACCACGAGTTTCACATTGGAGCTGTTATACTTTTTGTAATGGCGTTACGCACTTGCAAAAATTATCATCATCACGAATCGTCTTCAGCACTCTCCTAGCAAATGCACCGCACTAACTCAGCTGGTGCGCACTTGCTTCGCCTTCGTCTTTGTCTTCCACTTCGCTAAACGAACGCGGGCACCTGGCATGCACTCTCACACTGCACACATTCCTCCGGCGTTGGATGCCAAAGCTTGGATGGTCAAGAAAACAAGCACAGAGAGAGAGAGAGAAAGACAGAGAAATATAAAAATTCTTGGCAGAAAGAAATTTCTTCACAACGTGAGAACATTGTCAAAATGTTTTTACAGGCAGAGCAAAATATTGATAATATTATAATAATGTAATATAATATGACTTCAGCCCTTGACCTGTATGTTCCTTTGTGGTGTAACGTCTAATTTGCACAGTTGTTACCTTTAGCGAATATGCGACCAGCTAGCCCAATGACTCGCACTTTGGCAATATGATTTTTAGGGGCGAAACATTCGGTATGGCAACAAACTTGGTGACCCTTCTCCACAATGCATTTCTCGACACTCCCAATCAGCAGTGAGAAACAAAACTATCTGTCAAGCACGGTAGACACTTCAACACCATGCACATTATCAGAAAATATAAATGAAAAAAAAAACAACATCGAATAATTAAAACCAAAAAATATGGGTGACACATCGATGGGTCGTTGTAACACCACTGGCAATGTGGCAAGCCAACAAGATGCATATTATCAGGGAATTTAGAGTGAAACTTTTGTATAAACTTGAAGGGACCTCAGCAAAAAGTTCATTAAATAGTTCGCTGAACTGACACAGCTACATTGCAGCTCGTCACCACAAGTTGAGTGTAAGATCGAGCGTTCAAATGAAATTACAGCCCATTTATTCATGATGCTACATATTTGCATTCAAATCTACGCTTATTGAGGCTCTTGTGAAAGGTGCAGCAGTCTTTTATGGCAGTTGGACACTTAAGGCTGTAGTCATTATGAGTCATTGTCACCTTCCACTGCAAAACTTTGCTAAGCAGAAAAAGACTTCAGTATCTCTATACTCGTGGAAAACTTTTCTTGGCAATGAAGGGAAGGCTACAGAGCCAAACTGGGCATGTGCCACCACAGAAGAATATAATTCCAAAATTGTGTTCGCATCTTCCGTGTGAAAATCATAAATAACAACAGTACCTTATTTTCTCCGGAATGTTGTTTATAAAGAGAGGAAGCGCACACCAAGGACATATTCATAATTATTTTACTTCACGAAGCATCATTTCGCATTTCTGTATGTGTGAAAACATAGCACGTTTTAGGTACACTGTCAAAATGGCGTCTTCATCTTTCGATGAGTGCATGTTCCCATCCAGCTATCATGACAACTCGTTGAAAAAGCGTGTGACAATTTTCACTCGCAAATGGCTGTCTAAGCAGACATAGTAAACTGAATGCAGTGTTGCTATTTAAGACCGACCATCATTCAAAGCATGAGCCGAACCGGACTACATGGCGGAGGTGTACATGTAGAGTAGCTCCACCCCCGTAGCTTTCCCTTCATTGCCAAGAAAACTTGTCCGCGAGTATAGGTGCATCACCATGCTTCTGCATAAAATACCCGGAGACATGGGGATTTCATTCGGCACTCATGACAGCCATCACGCGGTTGCAGGTATAGGCATGTAGCTCCCGCGGAAATTATGAAGACTTCAACAATTAGCTCCCATGATACACCGTGTGGAGCTGATAGCAAAGGCCATGATAAAACTATGCAACAAAAACAGAGGTTGTACTTGAACATGATCGACCTGACCTTGAAGAATTTAGATGGTGTCCCAGAAGATGTTTGCAGAACTTAAGTAAACTATGCAGTGAATTTCCTTGAACTGATGCAAATTAGCATTAGGTTTTATAGTGCTGGCATCAAAGATATTAAAAAAAGTTCTCATAACTGAATTAGTCAATTTACCTGAAGTTTATATGTAAGTGGTATTTTGTTACACCTAAAATATGATAAGAGAATGGAAACAAACATATAGGGGCAATGCTGTCATTGTACGCTGTTACTATTGATAAGGGCAATATAATTTCAAATTTTAAAGTGCTTTGTGTTTTGAGGCAGACGTTGGTAGGTTGTAAATGTGTGATGGCAGAGAGAAAGGTTTGGTCACTTCACGAGATGCACGTTCATTTGATTGCTCACTTTGGACACTGACCGCTGTCGAAATAGCATAGCTGTGTCCTTCAAAATAGCATGGTCATTTTTATCCTTCTTTGTCACTTACTGCAGAAGCGAGTCCTCCATCTCCAGTAACATGCCGTGCTTGCCTCGAGAAGCACATTTCTGCTCATTTGCTTTTCCAACCAGACGTTCTCGGGGGCACCATTGTCGCATGCAGTTTTAATTAATTTATAACAACCAGCCAGCTGCCTGGGTGTTTCGCCAAAAAGAGTTGCGGAATTCTCACACCTCACAAAGGCTAACGCTGCTAACCTCGTCCAAAACCAAGGACGCTGCTAACACATTGGTGATTTTCAAACACACTTTTGGGGTGGCCTTTTTAATGAAGTTCAGGAGGTGACCTTTACATGGCCATGGCCATTGCACGAGTGTACAGGGTGCTTCAGCTAACTTGCACTAAGTGTAATTTTAATTTCGCCTACTTTAATGAAGAGCTGCAAAAAATTAAACAAGGTAGCTAGCTTAGCATAGATGAAATAATTTAATGTTGCTGAACAAATATTAACATTTTTCTACTGAATATTTGTCAGTAAAGGCACTATAGTGCCTTTAGTGAAAAATATTCAGTAGGAAAACGATAATGCTTGTTCAGCAACATTGGCTAGTAAACAGCCCCACAGTCGAAAATGTGTGAAGTGATAACTGTACTCTTGTATGATATGGACATGCTGCCACAAGAGCTTTACGAATAAGTGCAGCAATAAGAATGTTACAGGGTGTAAAACAACTTGCTTTGGCTGGTTTTGGTTTTTCGCTCGACTTATATACCCACCCTTCTCAAAGCCAGGAGGGTTGGGGTAGCTCATTGTGACAACACCCCCTAGGCGACAATGGCCACAATGCAGACGACCAAGAAAGGGTTCTTCTGTGTCCCTCGTGTCAGAGCAGCGCTAGGTTAAACCTGGCAACACGGCGAAAAGGCACGGTAAAAGCGCGCCCCAAACTGCAAATGTGTCGCACAGCGTACAGAACCAATCGACGAAGCTGGTGATGCAAACCGTGGTCGACATTTCATCACTGCGTGTACGATGAGATCGGACAGACGCAGGAGAAGATCGTGGGAATTTTTTTTTTTTCGAAATGGAGTGTCACCACGACGCACTGCACTGTGATATTTGCGGAGTGTGATTGCCACGGCCTTCTGCATGAAGTAGCGAGCAAGTTTTGCAGGTGTCAGAGCCTGTTCATTGGCCCCTAAAGGTTAATTAAGCAATGTTATTTTTTGTTAATTACACAAATTGGGACATCAAGAGAACACATCCAGACAACCTGCTAATGGCTTATAACAATACAGGCCCAACTGGATGCGTGTAGTAGGTGTTTGTTTCTGTAATGTAGTCGAGCCCCTTTATAAGAGACACTGATATAAGAGACAAATAGGTATAAGAGACACCAGCGTGCCTACAAAAAAATACAGGCCATAGGAAAATGCATATGTTGTGCCACAATTACGAAAGACATGTCATATAAAAAACATTGGTGCCTGGTGCATGTCTCTTATAGAGGGGTTCAGCTGTACTATGCGCAAGTTAGCTAAAACACCCTGCATAAAGTAAACAGAATACAAAATATCTTACATGGATCACTGCAGAAGTAGTGTGGCCGCTGACGATTCCTCGGCGCGCCTTCTCCCCGACGCTTCCACATGGGGCCGAACTTCCGGCGCGACCTCCCCGGCTCCGACCGGGCGTCCTGAGGGTCTTTCTTGCGCTTGCGACCTTTGGACGCCGGCGGACTCTGGACGAGCCGACCGTATGAGCCCTCCTCTTCGTCTGCGAGGGGCACTTCTGGCTGACTTCCATTTGATGGAGTTTCCTGCTGAAAGGAGAATCGGAAATTAAAAGAGAGAAGGAGACGCATTCAAGGAGTATTGACAAGGTTTTGGGACTTGGCGAAAGGGATGTTTTTTGTTTCTTTGGAATCCAGTATTAATGTTCACCACACATCGGAGCCAGACAACACGTATAGGATATTTTACTGTAATTTTTAAGTTTTCATTGCTGAGAAAAGACAGGGCAGCTCCACCGCAACAGAGGTTATCCCAACGAGTCAACACAGTTCTACAGAGTTCGTGAACTCTGCGTGCTGAAGGCGACCTAAACTGCAAAAATCACTGTCGAGGTACTCAACTCATCACTGCTCACGTCACGAGCAGGTGAGAGATCTCCCTGTAGTACGTCACAAGTTGCTGTCTTCCCCTGATGTCACATCTCAATGACAAGTCACCGAGAAGCTGCCCCTTCGATATTGAAAGGGAATGTTTCTTTTGTCATCTATAATTTCAAACGTATTGCTGATGTTGTGATGTTACCTTTTAATGTTTTATGCTACCTGTAAAGTATTCATCTTTGTTTTCAGCCATACAATAATGCCCGTTGGGTGCTGTAGGTATCTGAATAAATAGATCTGAACAAACAATTAATAGGAGCAGTATTAAAAAAAATATCCAATTTATTCCCAGGCACCACAATACCTGTATAAGGGCTCTGAACAGCAGTGATTTTCTTTAGAGCGACAATCGGAAAGTATTTAAAATTCATGCCGGTGCTCCTCCAGAAGGCAACAACATATGATGAGCAGAGCTAGTTGGTTAATGTGGAGCTATTATATGCTACTTTCAAGCGAATCACTGAGTGCGTGAACCAAGAACAAACGCAGCTGCTGTCTCCAGACAGTCTATGGTGACGGTGCACTTGTCATGATTTGTCATACAGTGGTGTACTGGTGGCAAGGAAAAAGCCCTCCACAAGAATTGCGATGCTCAAACATGCATTTGAACTCCCGCTCTTTAGGGCGCTGCTAAAGATGCTCACAAGCATTACAAGACGCAATGCCGATGCCATCCGTACATGGCATCCTAGGAAAGACAAGGCATTACAACAAAATTCTACGCCTATGCATCCCTTAGACAACTGCCCAAGAAGATCTTGTGTCTGTCGGCTCCACTGGTTGCCCACCCTTTACAAATGAAATGGACTCAACTTTTTTTTTTTTTCGTTTTTTATGAGGCTTCAGAAGGTGACATACTCCAGTCTCTCCATTCACAGTCATTAATCAGACATTTCGGCACTTTGTCTGGACTGTCAAGATTGTAGTAGCTTTAGACACATGTTCTGCAGAGGTGCCCCTCTTCACAGGGAAAACATCGAGAGTTTTCTGAAGAACAAGCACATCAACAAGGGTAGTTGCAGCCACGCGAAAGAACTCAAGGCATGAAACACCGCAGATCAAGTATTATAAGAATGCAAGTACACCCTCACCCACACATGTTCTACGAGTTTGTAATAAACACTTCAGCACCAGGGCAATTGCTTATTTCACTAGGACTGAGTGAGAGACTACAGGACACATGCTTACATAACTTGCTATTTGAGCATGGCTCCCATGATGTTTTGCCAATTGCCTTTTGCCAAAAACAATGCTTTTGTTGATGACCTGTCACCAATTTTCACAATATGCAAATCATAGCTGTTTCAGACTTTATAATAAAAGGGATAACTGACAAGCAGTACCCGTGTGTAGCACGAAACCACAGGGAAATTTACCTAGATTTCTCAAAAATAAGCTACTTAGTTGATGAAAAATTTGTCCTGTTCGGAGGATCAAGTTGAACACTCTTCTTGAGCAGTTGTCCTTCCAATTAGGCCAGCCAGGAAGCTTGCAAATGGAAGTGTGAAGGAAAATTCGTCGACAACTTGATGCCCGCAGATACTGAATGTTGCAAATGAGTTCTATAGAATCCAAAAATGTGGTGCAAGGGTTACGAAAGGGATAACTGACAACCACCTGCTCCTATAGCATAAAGCCACGCAGATATCCGCACGGATTTCTCAAAAAGGAAAGCTTCATGGTTGGAATTGTGGAGTTATGCTAAATGCTCACCTCTCCATGATTTCCAAAGGGCAGCACTGAGGGCGGGGTGGGAGAAGAAGCTCCGACAACAGGTGGCGCTGTCGTGGCGGTCCTGGGCTTCTTGGTGACGTCCTGCGGCTCCGGGTACATGGACAGCATACCGTCCCAAGTGGACGCAGTCCTGCAGGTTCTTCCAGGCTGCCAGCCGCTGAGCCAGCACTGTGCCACGGGGCTCGAAGCCCTGCCGAGAACAGAAGCCAGAAGATTTTAGGAAACGGCATCTCCAAAATTTTGGCGAACAGGTACTCAGAAGGGAGTGTCTGTAACAAAACTTCAAGACAAACATTAATATGATAACTGGACCACTCACCATATCAATGTCATTGAAATGTGTGTACAGGTCACATTTCTATAATTATTTTTAATATGTGATTCGTGATAGAATTCTGAGTGTAAAGATTGTACTCGCTAATTAAACCACAATATGCCTTGTCTGTAGCGGATCCCTGACTAGCCATATTGGCTACGGATGCGGATGTTTCAGCAGAAACTTTTCATAAATCATTTCATTGAAAATAAAGCATTCTTCTTTTTCTAAAGAAGAAATTCTGGGGGAGACATATTTTAATAGATAGAGGGCGAACCTACGAAAATCTGTGCTTGAAGTTAATACACCCATAAAAAAACTGAACCTGCCACAACGATCTAGTCGTCATCGTGCTCAACTGCTGACTCAAAAGTTCTGGGATGAAATCCTGGCTGTGGGGACCACGTTTTCGATTAGTGTTAAAATACTAGATGCTTGTGTACTTACATTTGACATTAAAGGACCCCAGAAAGTCAAAACTTCTGCAGCCCTTCACTACAGCGTCCCTTATAATCATAGTGCGGTTTTGGGATGTTAAGCCCCAACAATTATATTATAAGATGAAGAAACTCAACTTCATCACAGTGAGGGCTGCTTTTTGCCCACCGAAGGGTACAGGAAAACATTATGGGCTCAGGGCCAGGCGTCAGCAGGAGCCTTCAGAAAAAGACACCTCGGCAAAAACAAACAAACAAAAAAAAAAAAAAACCTTTACCCATTGGGAGCCATGGCCAGACGGCCGAAAACCACAGTGTGGTCGAGAAAGCGTGGACATGCTCCCAGCCAGTCATTTCACATTGTTACAAACTATTGATGAGATCTAACAGACAATCATGCCAAGGAAAGTATCCGGGATGTTATTAGAAGTACTTCTCATATAAATGTGAAGAAGGAAAAGTGGACAAAAACATAGCTTGCCGTGGTCAGGGACCGAACCTGGCACCTTTGAGTAATGCGTGCAATGCTCTGTTGAATGAGCTACCACGGCTGCTATCCCTACGGTCCACTTTATGGGATATATACATGCATTAAATGTGGGAGCATATGTCAGCGCCACCAGTAGCCATGACGACAAGGGTGGAACACTCATTATTTGCCTGTTTGGCGTCAGGTAGTCCACTACACCATAAATCATTATAATTTTTGGAAGCACCCACTAGGCCATTATTAATCATTCTCTACAGAGGTAAGCTACCCGCTAAGCTTCTGCAAGGCATTCTATACGCTTTGTTGAGGCTGTGGCAGATGACAGGGAACTATGCCTAAGCTCTTTGTAATTGGGATGAAGCATTAAACCACACGCTGGTAAGACAACACGCAGGCTGTGACGCTTGATGTTTAACTCCTCTACCGCACTATATTACCTCTGTAAACGCGATTTCTCGTCCAACATAACACCTGCGGAGGGTCTTTTTCGGGAGGAGTTTCAAGTACCTACGTGACTCTGCGGTACAAGTGCTGAGTGGCACGCAAAATGGCTGGGTTCGAAATCTGCTCGAACTGCGCTCTCGTTTTTGTTTATCTACCCAATACATGTTATGGACACCAGCGCTGGCTGTGCTGGACTATCCCATCATAATCGGCCGTCGTTGTGGTCTCGTAAAAGATTCCACAGTAAAAGTCCCGCTCGCGCGTCTTCTCCAAGAGCAGCTTTAACAACCGTCTTGCATACGCCATCAGTCCGGAGTGCATAGTCATTGGCGCAGGCATGTGTGGGCGACCACCCTCCCTGACTTTGCACCTTCCCACCCCCCCAAATGCTCATGCCAGGCCTCCGCCACGTACATACAGGCAGGTCATCGCAGCAGCTGCAGCTGCGATGCTCTGGCACACATGACCAAGCTGCCTGCACTGCTACATCAAAGCCCAACTCGGAGCCAAGAAACTGAAACTGGGAATTGTCCCCATAAAAAAGGCAATATAAAATTATTTAGCAAGAATAAAAAAATCTTGCTTCCTGGAGCTATGAGAAACACTTGCAGGAAAGAACGCACAAGCCACTATTATGATGGCCTTACCCCTTTGAAATCAAATGAAGTACGAACCAAATATAGTATTACAGGTTTGCCAAGCACACTGAGCCATCCCCACAGCCTGCATAAGCTCTAAGCATCGATGTCAGTTGATAGAGAGGTAAAAGAGTAGCCAGGCAGTGTTTTGCACACCTGCTTCCCTACATGAAGTAACTATAGTCACCCAAGTCCAGAAGTAAGTATGCCAAGTTTACGGCAAGTATTTCATCAGCTTCCTTATGGAATCTACTGGCTGTAGCTACTAAGGAGAGTTTCATTTATTCCTTTAAGCAGTGTTTAAATTTATATTTGACACTGTGCCACTTTTTGAAAACTTTATTGACTTATGATGTTGCATTTACTCAGTAATAATGATTTCATTGTGATGCCACGATGTCATTGTGAGACTGCCATAGTCCAGTACATTTCACCACCTGGGATTATTTAAGGTGCACCTGCATTAAGTATACTGGCTTATAGCATTTCGCCACCATTGAAAAGCAGCAACCTACGGCGGGGTTCGATCCTGCGTTCTTTGGGTGAGTAGTTGAGGGTCTAGTTGACTCGTCAAAGCTTGTCCACATTGTGGTGTACTAACACGATGTGTGCAGACTGAGACCTCCTCCCGTATCAATGTATCTTTGTTGAATGCATTTCTGAATAATAAGATACAAACTGAAATAAATTGACTTGAAACTTGCGCAGCTCTAACATAACCAGAAGTTATCAAGGGAGCAGTACCGCTTCAGGCAGATTTTCTATTTTGACAATTTCTCGTGTCACGCTTCCACGTTTTCTTTAACTTCTGTCGTCTGCCCCAATGTGTGTCACAACGGCGGGTGAGTAACCTTGCCTGCGACAAGCACAGGACATCCCTGAAGCCACCGTGTTGTACTACCAGCGCTCCGGAAAGCCAGATTTGTTTGTACATGATATAGCTCGATGGCCCCTAAGCAACCTCTACAATTAAAGAGAATGAGCATGTCGTTCTCTCCTTGCGTCAGTTCCTTGTGCCAGTGGTCTGTCACGATTCTTTGTGCCAGTGGTCTGTTTGCGTCACATCCACCATGAAATTGGCTCTCGATTTTTTTGTATTTGAGACATATTAGCTGCGAATGGTCTCCTACCATGCTCTGCAGTGCAGTCGCGCGTTTGTCCGGCCTCGTATCACAGAACTATCATGCACAATCAAGCAATCCCACTTTGTTTCGTGCGTTTTTCACTGTGCTAGCAGAATAACGGCATATAGATGAAAATCGCGAAGCTTTAATAAGCTCAGTGCCGACACTGTCCCCATGTTGCGCGATAAAATAGATGACAAGATTGAGACAGCGTTTTTAGGAAGGATATTGGAAGCTAAAAGAAAGCCGCTTCGTGGTCTCAGAACTTCCGAGTTGTTTAGGGGCTCCCTAGCAAGTGGTTGTTTTTCAAGGCAGAGATGCCAGCAACAGTCCAGCGACGTCCCTATCAGATGTAAACTTTTAACCGCGCCAGCAAACATGCTGCTTGGACGCCGTTGTAGTTGCAGTTTTGTAGTACGAGCATGTCCAAAGATGTGTGCATGGCGTTATGTGCGAGCTGTCCATTCCATCTGGAGTAAAAAGAGATCCGTGCTTTGTGCTAGCAGTAGGTAAGTATGAACAAATATTTCTTGGATGCATGTTGTAGCCGCAAGCTTGGAAAACCACCAGAACAAAGAAAGAATACAAGTTTAGTGAGAGCCTGCCGAAGTTTCGGTGAGAGCCCAGAGGAGCTAAAATGAGTGACAACGTCTGAGAGTTTTACGTGCCAGAACAAAGATTGACAGGCATGCCATGATGGAGGGTGGCACTGGGTCGATTTTGAATGCCTCGGGTTCCTCAATGTGCGCCTGTTTGTATTTACCCAGGCGTTCATGCATTTTACATGCATGGTAATAATATCTGGGGTCTTACGTCCCAAAACCAAGCTACGATTATACGAGATGGCGTAGTGGAGGGCTCAAGAAATTTTGGCCACCTAGTGTCCTTTAACGTTCACTAACATGACACAGTGGACGGGTCTCTACCGTTTCGCCTCCCCATAAATGCAACCGCCACAGCTGGGATTTAACCGGCGACCTTCAGTTCAGCAGCCGGGCACTCTAACCACTGCTCCCTTATGGTAGACCATTTGACCCGCGTCAAAACGCCTGCTGATGTCGTCACAAGTCAAACCTGACCCACAGAGCTCTGCAGTACGACACTTTACTTGCAAGGTGACCACTTGGGGTAAGCTCCAATGAGAAATGCACTCGGCATAGACCAGTTTACATTGTACGTTTTTCTAAAGACGTTCATTGTCATTTTTGTTTGCTGTATTTACACAACGATGATAACGGATTCGAAAAAAAAGTGTGTGCTCACTACCTAGCAGGGGAGATATCCCCCTTAGCTAGCCATATTCTAAGACGGGCTGTTGCTGATGCAACTTTGAAATGTGTAATATGGGCTCCTGGCCATCAGGGTTTACAAGGTAATGAGGCTGCTGACGCGGCCGCCTGATCACTTACCCACGGGGCTCCTCCCACCAGCGCTTATGACTACCGACCAGTACACCACTGCTGCAGTTCAAAGAAATTATGTTTTATTACCCTGATGCTCACCGCCTTTTCCAGGTTCCTGCAAAGGAGCCGAGTAAAGCAGATGGGCAAACATTAAGGCGCCTGCAGACAGGTACTCTACTCTGTCCTGCAATTATCAAACACTTTGACCCAAACATCTATGCGTGGTGCCCACATTGTGGGGAAGTTT